CCCTCACTGGTAATATTTATTCCACATTCCTTGGGCTTTCTATGCACATCTCTACTGATGTTGTAAGACCTACAGGCCTTATTCCGGTCAGCATTTCCCCCCGGTGAGAAAACGAGGGCCACGTCAGATCGATGCAACAAGCAAGAGGTTTATTATTCCAGCTAGCTGGGGTCCAAGTGTCTGCCCGACACAGCAGGTTCCAACAAGGACCCCGAGCATTCAAAGCCAAGGGTTTATATAGCATTTTCAAAGCACTTAACTCATAGTAATTTTCCACAGCTACACATTATTTTTGCAAGTCATACGTCCTGGGGTTAAGTAAGAGCAAGATAAGACCACTCCTCAATTGTTAGGGCGGTTCCACACGATAAACTTGGTATGTATGATTAGCTGGCCAAGGTTAGCTGACCAAGGGTCACAGCTGCCCACAACCCAGTGTTCATGATTAACTCGTTTTTCAAGACTTACCCAGTTCCAATTCTTTTTTTAAGTCACATACTCAGAAAATGGCTTCTCGGCCCTTAAGATGGCTACTCTTATGCTAACTTATTCCCATTCTTACAATGTATTTGTTATCTTACATGTGAAAACATTATCTGAGAAGAGAGGTGTAAGTCCAGGGAGAAGAAATCCCGGGAAAATACCTCTAAAACCTGAAATCAGTCAAAGGGAGAAATAAAGTTTAGAATTCGTTTATTGCTCACAAACTGCAGTCTGGGGCCATTTCTCTCTTTCCTACTCCAGCAGAAGCCAAAAAACTGCACCTCCCCTCCCCTCTCCAGTACAGATAAACTCTGCTTGCCCAGGTAATTACCCATTGATATGGAGATGAACTTCTCTCCACTCTTGAGGAATGATGCAAATGCACAAAAGCCTTACTTCTTTCCACCTCTGAATGCCTATTGATAAGCAGATGTACTAAAGCCAGGCGAGATATTCTGGAAATGTTACAATTTCATCCACAAGGGGTTATTAGTACTATTTGTTTATTCATGGGCAATGCATACATATGATCCAAAATTCGAAGTGCATAAAAGGGTTACAATTGAAAAGATCCTTCAACCATCCGCGACCTTCAGTCATTCAGCTGTTAGCAGTTGAACTATTATCCATCTAGAGATATTTTGCACTCATGCAAATATATACACAAACTTGGACTGTAACTTCCTTTTTGTACTTGACAGCAAATCTTTGAGACCACCACATATCAATACTTGGAGAGGCCTTGTAGTATACAGTGGTTACAAATATGAATTCTGAAACTAGATTATTTTTTAATTGTTCTATTAGCTGTGCAACCTCAGGAAATTTACTCAACCTCTCTGAACCCCCATTTTGTAGTTTGTAAAACAGGCATATTAACTCATACGGTTGTTATGAAGATTAAATGATTTAATGTATGTAAGGACCTTTTTGGGACATTACCTGGCACATAGCAACAGACACTAGCTAGTATTATTATGCAAAAGAGCCTTCTCATTTGTTTTTACTATTAGATAGAATGAAGTATTGTAATTTATTGCTTTGTTGTTGATCATTCAGATTGCTCCTAGTCTTTTGTACTGCAAACTAGGCTGCCAAAACCCTGTTCATATGTCATTTTACACATTTTCAAGAATGGTAAAACCCTAGAGGTGGGGTTCCTGGGTGTGAAGATACATGCATTTAAAATTTTGAGATAGAGCCAAAGTTTCATCCATGAAAGTTCTACCAATTTTCAGGACCACCAGCAGTGACTGAGAATTAAGTTCAGGGGTCTTTATTCAGGGTTTTCCATTCTTATCCCATCATATGACTGTCCTACAGTGAACAGTAGATGCTGAATAAAGTGTTAGTTAATTGGACACTAGAATTGTTTAGGAACTAGAGTTGAGTTTTGATGTTACCACAAAAAACATTTTAAAATCCACTCTGGCATCTTCTTTCCCAGTAAAATCATTGAAGATTAGAAGGCATGGTAGAAATAGTTAACTTTTACTGATAGCTTTAAGGTGGTCTATTATAGAGGTTTCTTTTAGAACCTGGAAAGGGTGATAAAAAAAGCATTACTAAAGTTTAAATACCATAACACAACAGGGTGGCGGAAGATCATTAATAGAAATGCGGCCAGATTCCCATCGATTAACTGACTTTCCTGTATTAAACTGTGATAAAATGTCTTTACACTTTATTTCATGTGATTCTGATATATGCAAAGATACAAGAGCAAGAAAGGGCAAAAGAAAATTGAGAGCTGCTAAGCTGTCTTTATTATTGCAATCTTCAAGTTACTACCATTTTACAGAAGGCATGGAGATCCATACATTAAGTAATTTGCTGCAAGACAGAGCCAAGTAGTGTGCTAAGAATCCAACACAGTGCTAGAAACATGGTTAATGCCCAATAAATTTGAATAAATAAACAATGGCCATGTAAGAGGAGCTGATAAAAACAAACACCTGTTTTAGTGGTTCATTTGCACTCTGTTTTCAGAGAGTTGGGGATTATGACCTGAAACAGGCAAACAGATCCTACTATTAAGAGCACGGACTGTTTTTGGCTGCTTAAATTCCACTGTTTTTTGCTGTGTGAGTTTAGGTAAGGGATGATGACAATACCTACTTTAGAGCTGTTCCATCAAGTTAATAATTCGTTGGGGACCATATTGTACAAGAGGCTTTTGCTGCCAGGATGTTCATTCTACAGATCAGTACTCAAAGTGGTTAATTTATCTACCCTCTCACAAGTGGGGAACCTGGGGCCAGAAGCCAGTCCTTCCGTTCCTAATCCAGTTTGGACTGTGAGCTTCATTATACCCTACGCCTATGTTTTCAGTTTTGCAAGAAGGAAGTGAAGACCCACACTCTGAATAATCCTTTTCCTGCCTCAATATATTCACGAATCTCTAAATCTACATCCTCCACTCCGAGTGTTACCGCATTGCCTACCTCACCTTTATCCAAGATGGTGTCAGCGTCAGGGCAGCAGCCTCTGCGGGTAGCTCCTCCCCGACCTTTGGTTGGAACAAGGAAGGGGACTGAAGAGAACTGCGAGACTTTCCCGCCTGTTTCTTTAGTTTTCAATTTGGTCCGATAGACCCAAATAAAGTTTGGCCTTTCTTTTTTTCTCCCCCCACCACTTTGTACCCAGTGCTGTGATTCTGTACTTTAAACTTAGGTTGGTACTGTTGTCGTGTCTGGCATTTGCAAAGATGGAAAGGAACCACGAAAATGTTAGTTGTCACAGGAAGTTGCTAGACCATCAGCAAGCCCGCCCTCCGGCCCCTGGCCCGGCGCGGTCCGATCAAACTCCCTTGCCTCATCTACGAGGAGACCCGCGGGGTGCTGAAGGAAAGGCCTTAAGAAGAATATGATACGTGATTCCGTAATCTTCAGTGCATACCAAACGAACTGGTCAGGGCCATGGACGTTGTCTGTGGTCTCAAGCGTTAGCGATCTACTTTCTACAGCTTTGCCTGCTGATTGCATTGTATGTTGTTCTATTCCCACTTGTAAAAGTCACTCTTCAGAGTCCGCTACCTTTTAGAACTGAATGACTTGCTCAGTTCCTGCCCTTGTGTATGGCTTTTGAGGTCTGCCGCAAGGAGAGCTGCGTACGCATAGGGAAAGAATATGGAGCTCCTGTAAACTTAAAATTATCTGCAATCACATTGGGTAGACCATAAATGCCCACAGTTTTATTTTGCAGAATGCAAAATTCTGGGTCTGGATCACCTAGTTGCAAGTTTACTCTGGTATCGTTAACACTAGAAAACCGCAGTCCACTGACCGAGGTTTTTAAAAATTACCGGTATATACCGTAACCTTTCCAGAATATCTCGCCTGGCTTTAGTACATCTGCATATCAACAGGCATTCAGAAGTGGAAAGAAGTATGGCTTTTCAGTGCATGCATCATTCCTCAGGGGTGGAGAAGTTCATCTCCATTATCAATGGGTAATTTACCCGGGCAAGAAGGGCTTATCTGTACAGGAGAGGTGAGGGGCAGGGCCGGTTTCTGCCTTCCGCTGGAGGAAATGGGCCGACTGTACCTTGTAAGCAAAAACGGATTTTAAGCTTTATTTCTCCCTTTAACTGATTTTTTAGATTTTTTTTATCTATTACGTAGTCCTTCCAAAAGACACATCCCTTTTTTGAACTGATAAGCGCACCAGCTTTTACTTTCTAAGTGGCTCTGAAAATAACCTGAGTTCGAGAGGGCCTTTATTAGTTTACCTAGTTATACCTACATTCAGTTAATGAGAATGGTCACTTATACTTTAAGCAGACAAGTAGGGTTAGCCGTGAATAATCTCTTTCTTGGAACGCATGGATGGCTCCAAAAGGTGGGGTGTGGGCCTAGGGTGACCCACCGCTCTGCAGCCAGTAGCTCGCTTGGAGCTGATGTACTTGATAACGGCCTCGGTGCCCTCCGACACGGCGTGCGTGGCCGCCTCCGCGGGTAGCAGCAGGCGCAGGGCCGTCTGGATCTCCCTGGAGGTGACGATCGAGCGCTTGCTGTAATGCGCCAGGCGCGACGCCTCGCCCGCCATGCGATCCAAGGTGTCGTTGAGAACGAGTTCACGATACCCATAGCCTTGAGCGAGATGCCGGTGACGAGGTGGACCTGCTTGCTTTTGAGCCCCTTGTACACGTAAAGGGAGTGAGTAGCAGCTCTCCTTGCGGCTGCGCCTTTGGCCACCGCCTTCTCGGAGCCCTTCTCCGGCGCTCAGGCAAACTCGGAGGGCTCTCCGGTCAATATAAAATAGAAATCCAAACAGGACCTCTTTAAGGTGCAACGGCTTATGCAAATGAATGGGGTAAAAGTCTGTGGTGAATTGTGGTTATTCGTGGGTGAGGCCATATTCCAGTTTTGCCCAATCAGGATATGCATTCCACATAGTCACGTTTCCATTGGTCTAAATGAAAATGAAACTAACCAGTCGTACAGCTCCCTTTTCGCGCCTAGCAGGGACTATAAATTCTGCGCTCGCGTACTGAAGTTTTAGAAGTTCTCAGCAAAGGCTGTCAGCGTTTAGCTATGTCTGGACGTGGCAAGCAGGGCGGCAAGACTCGCGCCAAAGCCAAGACTCGGTCGTCGCGGGCCGGGCTGCAGTTTCCTGTGGGCCGCGTGCACCGCCTGCTCCGCAAGGGCAACTATGCCGAGCGGGTCGGGGCCGGCGCGCCCGTGTACCTGGCGGCGGTGCTGGAGTACCTGACGGCCGAGATCCTGGAGCTGGCGGGCAACGCGGCCCGCGACAACAAGAAGACGCGCATCATACCGCGCCACCTGCAGCTGGCCATCCGCAACGACGAGGAGCTCAACAAGCTGCTGGGCAAAGTCACCATCGCGCAGGGCGGTGTCCTCCCCAACATCCAGGCCGTGCTGCTGCCCAAGAAGACCGAGAGCCACCACAAGGCCAAGGGCAAGTAGGAGTCAATAAATTTCCTACACTCATCAAACCAAAGGCTCTTTTCAGAGCCACCGAAGTTTTTAGGAGAACTGAACACTTGGTTTTAAATCTTTTTTTCGTCTTTGTAAAAGCCTTCGAAAGGTCACTATTAGCTTCAACGGTTCAGGTAATTGCATTTTTTATTTCCTTTTTTTCAGGTCTGTTAATTTCATTAATCTTGTCTACACATTTAGTATTTCAAATCTCAGAAGTATTAGGTTGGGTTACGTTGAGTCTGGTTTTCTAATTTTCCTGCCCTTATCCCTACCCAAGATCTACAAGAAGTTCTGCTGAGTCTAATTGCGTTTGGGGTGTCAGTGGAAGCTTAAGGCATTTTGATTGCTGAGTTTGAGCGATTCAAATAGTCATCTTGATGCAGGGATCATTCCAAATTCCTATATTGGGCCTAAGGCTATTTCTGAGAAAGATTCAATCACAAAACTAAATCTGTTTTCATGTTGCTGATTAAGGAAACAATTTTTAAGCAGCCTTTTTTAATTGGAGAAGGTAACTGATGCCTAATAAAATAATTTTCGGAATAAGTTATTTTCTTAAAATGTTTTTGTGATTTAAAGATCTAACTGATACAATGATGGAATTATTTTTCAGAAAAAGTTTGCCTTGGAATATATAAGCTTAGGAGTGTGGGGATCACTGATACCAAGGCAAGGTGTACTATGGTTTTACCAGTTACTAATTAGAACCATTGGTTACAGATGGAAACTCAAGGGTTTGTTTAGTTTGTCCTAAACAGGTTAACTGGTGGTGTTGGTGGGATTAGATTAAGAGCAATGCTGTACAAGTAATCCCATTAAATTAGACACTTTATCATCGCCATGGCAATACCAGCACCCTCTCCCTAAATTAGTGAAACGATACAAAAGATTTTTGTTACGACCTTGCCAGTTACAGTCTTGAATTCATTAGAATAGAAAAATTACAGTAGTAGAATTGCTTTATATTTGAGAATTAAAGGTTCTTGTAAAGAAGTTTCTCTATGAAGGTAATTAGCCCTTGACCTCCTAACGTAGATGAGATTTTTTTCCTGAAGGTTAAAAGAAGTTCATAATATTTGTGTTTAAAGGTTAGAAAATTGAAAGAAGTGGGTGCACATTGTGCCTTCCAGTATGGTAGCCACTCAGCCAATCGTGACTTGATCACTGAAACGGGCTGCTCCGAATCAAGTTCTGTATAAAACTGGTTTTCAAAGAATTAGTGCAAAATAAAAAAATGAAATATCTGAACTATACTGATAACGTTGAAATGAATATTTTGGGATAAAATGATTAAAATTTTTTTGTTCTAATGTGGGTCTAGACAATTTTTACATTTATGTGGCTCTCATTTCTATTGCAATTAACTTGTATAGAGCGAGGAACTTTAAAGGAGAAAGAAAAAACAGAGGCCATAAACTAAGAACAGGATTTGGAATACAACAAAGTTTAACCAGCGCGGTTACCTGCTGGGTAGTCCTTGTTTTCCTTTTGTCCAATCAGCTCCTGACTCTTACTATAAATGTTACGGGCAGCCTCCATTTCCTGGAATTGAATGTTCCAATCGGCGCTCAGCAACCAAGCGCCTCGCTAGGCCACCGTTGGTAAGGCCCCGCGCAAGCCGCTGGCCACCAAGGCGGCCCGGCCCGCAAGAGCGCGCCTACCACGCGTGACGTGAAGAAGGCCCACTACTACTGGCCTGGCAAGGTGGCGCTGTGCGAGATTAGCTGCTACCAGAAATACACCGAACTGCTGATCCGCAAGGTGCCGTTCCAGCGCCTAGTGCGTGAGGTCGCGCAGAATTTCAAGACCGATCTGCGCTTCCAGACCTCGGTGGTCTTGGTGCTGCAGGAGGTATGCGAGGCCTCTTCGTGGAGTTCGTGTGCCATCCACGCCAAGCGTGTCACCATTATATCCAAGGACACCCATCTTGCCTGTTACATCTGCGGCGGAAGGGCCTAAATCTCAAGGTTTCCCACTCAATCCCAGAGGCTCCTTTCGGAGCCGCCCACATGGCATTATGAAAAACGACGGTCCTTACAGTTGCTGGTGTTTTATCTGGCAGATGGGCTCCATTCCTAAACATTTAAAAATCTTGTTTTTTTAAGGCTGTCCATTCTTGGTCTGGCCATTAAATTGTTTCCAATTGCTTCTGCCTTGTTTGTCTTGACAGGTTAGTTCTCTAATTTATACTTCCTGTCAACTTTTCACTGCTGGTGTGCATTACCTTTTAAGAGAAAAAGGAAAGCTGTCATACAAGCATTAGAGGAGTATACCTGCAAATTGGCTTATATATGTCATCTCAGTCCCTCAATTTTGCTTGTGAGACAGAAAAATCTGATATATTGTCTTTTTTGAAAATAGGTAACGAGATGACCATTGCAACAGTTAGATCATCTGCTCAAGAACCTATTCATTACCTTGTGCCAGTTGGTTCGTGGGAAGTATTAAGTTACAATTTACATATCTGGAATTTAAGATGCTGCCAATATTCTACCAATTTTAGATGGTGTGGTACCTTTAGTTTGAATGAACACAGTATTGTTTACTCTCAATAATCAGCCTTCCTCTGGAAAGGAAGATATAATTGGAGGAAAGCCTGCCTTGCCTCCCAAACTTGGAGAGCCCTGCTGGTCTAACCTAAAGCCAATTTCTAAAACAGATTGGTATTTTGGAGTGTGTAAACTGTTTTCTTCCCCTCTGTTGGGAAACAGCTATTAAGTCAGGAATGGCCCAAGAGAGACCTTTCTGCACTGATCAATATTGCTGGTTGGGTAGGACACTCTCCTGGAGTAATGCAGTCAATATACTCCAATTTAATCTTTCAGTTCTGATTATATGAAGATTTATTCAGGGACTGAATAGTTCTAGCTATGTGGACATGAATATTTCATGTTTCTCAAAACACTGAGCTAGTAGGCTGGTGGCCTTTTACCTAAGCTTTTCTGGACTTTGAACATGTTTTCATCACCCCATTTAATTTAAAGAACTGACTTTTGCTGCAGTACTATAATGGCACACAAAGATGAATACTCAGTGACACCAGACCATTTGGCTCATACTAATGGGTAAATGGTGACATCCACTTAGGAAAGATCTCTGGGGAAGTACTGATAATGATCAACCTGGGATATGCATTTCGAGTCCTGGAAATCTACAATTATAGGAAATAAATGAATATGTATGTGTGAATTCAGGAGATAAACCCGGGATGGACATAAAACATTTAGGTGTCATTAATATGTAAAAATATTCAAAATCAAGGGAGTTGCCTAAAGATTCCATCTGGCTCCTTCCTGTATCCTAACTTGTGCTTTACTGCCAATATCAAACTCGTCATTTGCCTGAATCACAAGCCTGCTGATGCTCATTCTCTGCTGGAATCCCCATACTTTCCTCCAGTTCTCTTTCCTTTAACCCTCAGATTAAATATTACCTTTCATAGGTCTTACTGCTCTATGTTCTAATATCTTGTGCTTACTTCTCTTGCTATGTTGTGGTTTATTTTTGTGTTTCTCTCCATTAGATCAAGTTTCTCTAGGACAGGCAGTGTCTTTACTGTTGTATCCTTAGTGCATACTACTTAAGGATTTAATAAAAGATGGAAACAAGTCTATGCTTGCATTTCTTGAGAAGCTACTGAGCAGCAAAATTAAGTACATAAATATTTCAATTCCTTACAAGGCTTAGAGTAAATGGAGCTTCTTTTGCCCATATAGAAATATAAAGATCTTGGACCTCACTATTCAGAAAACCTTTGCCCTTTCAGAAAGGTTTTTCAAACTAGGTATCCATTATTGCTCTTGGAAAGCAATTTAGCATCCAAGTATCATCCTTGTTACAATCGAGTTTGCATTACTAATTTGGCAGTGGTAATATATGTCAACTAATACTCATATACAAATTACACTTCACTACTTTTAGTAAGCATATCAAAAAATTCCTTTGGAGGTAACTTTTTAAAATGCAAGATACTATCTTCTGACATCTCCATGGATTTCTGTAGAACTGACTTCATAGTAAAATCAGTTACCTAAAAACAATTGCGAGATGTGGATAAGTATTGGGACAATACAATGTTCGTGTAGATTCAATACAAGTGACCTTGAAACTAGTTCGTATAAAACACAATGCAAACTGTTAAATAAAGGCTCCTAAACACCTGCTCTGAAACATGTCAAGTGAGGTGAGGTTTAGCGGGGGCTAAAACCGAACTTAAAAGCGTCAGCATTTTCACAAATTGCTTAAACTAATTAAAAACGAAAAGTAGTGTTACCTTTTTTACGACTATGTAAGTGGCTCTGAAAAGAGCCTTTGTTTTTCAGATTCCTCCAAACTTGGTCTTTATTTGGCCTTGTGGTGGCTCTCGGTCTTCTTGGGCAGCAGCACGGCCTGGATGTTGGGGAGGACACCGCCCTGCGCGATGGTGACTTTGCCCAGCAGCTTGTTGAGCTCCTCGTCGTTGCGGATGGCCAGCTGCAGGTGGCGCGGTATGATGCGCGTCTTCTTGTTGTCGCGGGCCGCGTTGCCCGCCAGCTCCAGGATCTCGGCCGTCAGGTACTCCAGCACCGCCGCCAGGTACACGGGCGCGCCGGCCCCGACCCGCTCGGCATAGTTGCCCTTGCGGAGCAGGCGGTGCACGCGGCCCACAGGAAACTGCAGCCCGGCCCGCGACGACCGAGTCTTGGCTTTGGCGCGAGTCTTGCCGCCCTGCTTGCCACGTCCAGACATAGCTAAACGCTGACAGCCTTTGCTGAGAACTTCTAAAACTTCAGTACGCGAGCGCAGAATTTATAGTCCCTGCTAGGCGCGAAAAGGGAGCTGTACGACTGGTTAGTTTCATTTTCATTTAGACCAATGGAAACGTGACTATGTGGAATGCATATCCTGATTGGGCAAAACTGGAATATGGCCTCACCCACGAATAACCACAATTCACCACAGACTTTTACCCCATTCATTTGCATAAGCCGTTGCACCTTAAAGAGGTCCTGTTTGGATTTCTATTTTATATTGACCGGAGAGCCCTCCGAGTTTGCCTGAGCGCCGGAGAAGGGCTCCGAGAAGGCGGTGGCCAAAGGCGCAGCCGCAAGGAGAGCTGCTACTCACTCCCTTTACGTGTACAAGGGGCTCAAAAGCAAGCAGGTCCACCTCGTCACCGGCATCTCGCTCAAGGCTATGGGTATCGTGAACTCGTTCTCAACGACACCTTGGATCGCATGGCGGGCGAGGCGTCGCGCCTGGCGCATTACAGCAAGCGCTCGATCGTCACCTCCAGGGAGATCCAGACGGCCCTGCGCCTGCTGCTACCCGCGGAGGCGGCCACGCACGCCGTGTCGGAGGGCACCGAGGCCGTTATCAAGTACATCAGCTCCAAGCGAGCTACTGGCTGCAGAGCGGTGGGTCACCCTAGGCCCACACCCCACCTTTTGGAGCCATCCATGCGTTCCAAGAAAGAGATTATTCACGGCTAACCCTACTTGTCTGCTTAAAGTATAAGTGACCATTCTCATTAACTGAATGTAGGTATAACTAGGTACAGTGCAAATTCCAGAGTAACTTTTAGGGCTTTTTCCTTACCTATATTTTTTCATGTTTGACATTTTTAATAACAATTTTCCTGTAGTTCATGGAGAACTAATGTAAATAGCATCTCTGTACTTTTCAGTTGCTTAAGTATTTGAAAATCTGCAGTATACTGCGGTTAGAACGTAGCAATTGTTCCTGGGGTCTTACAGGCTACTTCTAGATAAGCATACACTAAGGACTATGGCAGTAGAGTAAAGGAATTCGAGCACCATCCGCCGGAAGTTGTAGGTCTCAGTTAAGTGGCAGAATTCCTCAGAGGGTGGAGTACTTGCTGTCCAAACTGCAGCAGGCCCACAATCTGCATCTTTTCAAACTTAAAGTATAATTGTGAGAATGGGAAAAGACTGGGCAGTCAGTCCCTGTCTAGTTAGAGCAGGATAAGGACCTCAGGAAAGGACAAAAAGAATACCTGGAGTTGGAACAATGTAGCGATGTACAACGAAGTTCTTAGGAAACTATTAAGCAAACGTTTAACTGATAGTTAAAATCATGCAAACATTTTGATATAAATAATGCCGGCTTTTAAAAATATAGACAACCTTCAGTGAGAAGGGTTGAAACAATGAACAGTATTCAGGAGGGAATCAACAGAATTAAGACAACTCAGTTAAATCTGAGATATAAACCCCTAGAAAAAGCCCAGACAAGGGCACTCTTGTCCCCTTCAGGCACGCGCTGGGAGTTCTGTACTTTCCTTTCTCTGAATTAAAAACCTTTTCTTCTTGCCTACCTGGAGTGTATGTGAAGTTCATTCTTTGGACTACGTGAACAAGAACCCGTATCGGAAGTCAAGGTAATTTTAAGGATAACAGTGCTGACTGAAGACTTGAAGTTGTGAGACAGCATAATTTAGATTGATCTTGCTTCTCATCTAGTTAACTCCACACAATTTACTCCACCCAGGTGGCCACATCCTGGTTCACCACTTCCCATCCCCAAGTATAAGGGTATAAACATTGACAAGGGAATTAATGGCTTTTAGTCTTGGTGTAAAAATCATAGTGTGGGTAAAATTAACATTTCCAGAATATCTCGCCGGGCTTTGGTACATCTGTATATCAACAGGCGTTCAGAGGTGGAAAGAAGTATGGCTTTAGTGCATTTACATCTTTCCTCAGAGGTGGAGAAGTTCATCTCCATATCAGTGGAAAATTCCTGGGCATCCAAGGGCTTATCTGTACCTGAGAGGTGAGAGGGAGGGTCGGTTTTGGGCTGCTGTTGGAGGAGGAGAGAGAGATGGGCATGACTGCAGTTTGTGAGCAATAAACGGGTTTTAAACTTTATTTCTCCCTTTGACTGATTTCGGTTTTTAGAGGTATTTTGCCTGAGGATTTCCTCTCCCTGGACTTAACATTAAGGCAAACTTTGAAGTTTGCTTATTCCATGCATCCACCATTCCTTTCTTTCAGAATTACTCAGCAAATGGGTTTGGAGTGCCTAGTATGTGATAAGAAATGTCCCTGAAATGGGAAAGACGTCAGATGAAACAATTAAGTACTCTGCAGCCTAAGATGAAACAGTTAAGTACTCTGCGTAGAAACTGAGAGGGGCCAAAATGGAACCTGCCTCATTTGGTAATATCCTGCAGTGGGGGAGGGGAAGAGGGCTCTACACTGAGGGTCTGAGCCAAGTAAACTGGACTAATCCTTTAGAGTTGCTGAGCCTGGAATGGCTGAAGAGAAATGTGCAAAAGTAAGGAGGAGGACCTTATGATGCTGAGGGGCTTTGCACACCTTGAAAGGAGGTATAAGGTTTATCTACAAGGACAAGTGGGATCAATATAGAAGTTTAAAATCTTGTAAAATGTATGATTCAGATTCATTATTCTGGTAACTCAATTGAAAGGTGACGAAGTGGGTGAAATCCGACATCAAAAGTTTGAAAATGCTACCAGGTGGTGAGTCAGAACCAAGGCAAAGGCGGGGACAGAAAGAGGAGGTGAAGGGAATTTGAGGGATAAAGGAAGCAGAAATTTCTCTCTCAAAATATAGCCCTGCCCTAAGGGTTATTTGGAGCTTATTATTTATAAAAAGCTGCACACACTGGAAAGCTCTGAAAACAGTAAAAGTTACATTTTTGTAGTGAAATATGCATTTATAAAGGAAATGTACACTAGAAAGTGTACCTGTGCCAGGAAGAGAGCTATTACCAGATAACTTTTCCAGCTAAGACACTACCTGCCTGACTAGGAAATTTTTTGTTCACCAAACATTTCCTCTTCTGACCTTCCTGTGCCTTTCTCCCCTTAAAGCCCCAGATCCCAGATCCCTATTTTTTTCCTTAGGTCAAGATGGCATATAATATGCCAATATAAAATAATAATAGTCTGGCCACCTATTGAGTCATATCTATGTGGGACACCCATACATATGAAGGTATGTACATAATTTTTTTTCTCCAGTTAATCTTGTTTGTTACTAAAGGGGAGTATGAGCCAAGAGCTCAAGAACAGAGGGAAAATTATTTTCCCTCTCCCACAGTTTAAAACACATTTCAAAGGAGACAGAAGGGACAATTGTTCCCAGAACAGCAAAGAAGTTAATTATATTAAAGCTGATACTTTATCACTGGGAAGTAAATCAGTAAATCTTGCCTGGTTGAGACAGGGACTGTGGGTTTAGGTAGAGTAGGATGAGGGCCTCCGGAGAAAAAGCAGAGCAAGATAATTACAGTCAGAACAATGTAAGAATGTGCAGAGAAGTCCCTGTCAAAACTCTGTGTTAAGCATTATGCAAAGTCAGGCACACTAACTCTCTAAGGTAAAGATACCAGACTAGGAATACAGACATTCTTCAGTGAAATCAGTTAAAGCTCAAAAGGCCAGGAGCAACTTGGCCTGGAATGTTTGCATGTTCTGCAGATAAAGAAAAGTATTTCAGCATAACCTGTGACTTCACTGTATCAATTAGATCATGACACTGTAAAATTTATCTTAGCCTGCTAAAAGGCCCAGCTTATTTTTAACTGTACCTATGTGATGTGTTTCATTCTCTAACCCTAATCAAGTAATCTGCAACCTAGGAAAAAGATTAATTTAGTAAGCAAGCCCAACTGTAAACAGCCCAAGAATTTAAGAAGCAAGATTCTTAACACACTTTAGCAAACAGGCAAAACCCAGCCCACCTCTACAGGTCAGCACAGGTGGTCTTAATTGACATGCTCCCAGAAGAAAACTGCTATCCTGAGAAAGAATCAGAGCAGCAAATTTCGTCTGTTTCTCCAAAAATGAGCATTCTGAGACCACTCAAGTCTGTACCCCTAGCCCTTTACTCCCATTCCTGAAAATCCTCAATAGCGAATAAAACCCCTAGACAACGAGCCAACCACGGGCTCTCTTGTCCATTCCTGATGTGAGCCAGGAGATCTGTCCTTTCGCTTTATCTCTAAATAAAAGCCTCTCCCTGGCTCTCCTACCTTGAGTGTTTGAGAAGTTTATTCTTTGGCTGAACAAACAAGAACCCCTGCATTATGGTGACTGTTGTTGATTCAGCAAAGATAAAAATTCAGTCATCTAACCAAAACTTAGTTGATGGTAACAAAAAGATTTTAAAAACAATCCAGTCATGGTAAACTTACATACACAACAGTTACTGTTGGCATGCGTGAATGTGATAAAAATTTTGTAGAAAATGTAATATGAATCAAATACCCTAAAATCTGCATCCTTTCTAACAAAGCATTTCAGTCCTAGGCTATCCTCAGGAAAAAAATTATGTAGATGTCCTTTAAAATAAAAAATAGCACATTATTGTTAAATAAGATTTTGTTAAAAATGTATCATAGAAATGCTTATGATAGAACATTATAGAGGTAATTTTTTCCTAATGTGAATTTTCTAAATTTTTAACTGAAGATTTCCTTTGATAAAGGAAATTGATTAACATGAAATACAATTTTAGTAATAGTTCCAAGTATAGTGGTAAAGATGGTACTTCATCATTGAGGAAAATAATTATTTTAAACCTCTGGCTGGTTAAAGAATTGCTAGGGAATTAGTTATAACTGTACTATGGAGAACTGTTAAAAAAGAATAACAAGCAGACATTAAAAATATTTTTTCTTTTATCTAGGAAAATTGGTTAAAATAAAATCAGTGTAAAGGGGTTTCAAAACACCATATACTGCACCGTGTAATTTTCTATGGGGAAAAAAAAAGTGCTTTTATCGTTCACCAAAATAGCGAATTGCCAGCTTATGTTTGGCGTTCGCATTCAAAAACAAATTTTAAAGCCTTAAACATGGTAACAAGACTGTTATACTGCTATGGTACAAAATAGGACAAAAAAACACAAGAAAGCCTCTTGGTGAGGTTGTGCCCTCCCCCCACGTCCCGGCCGGGGCGGGACTTCCCGCCTCTTTTCTTCGGTTCTCAGTTCGGTCCGCCAGCGGACGTATAAAAAAAGGCCTGCATAGGCCGCATTGGTGACAAACGCGTTGGTGACAAACCGCTCCGTTTTCTTGTGTGTTAGTATGTCTGAACATGGGAAGGGTGGGAAGGATCTAGGGAAGGGCCGTGCCAAGCGCCATCGCAAGGCGCTGCGGGACAACATCCAGGGCATCACCAAGCCTGCCATCCGCCGCCTTCCCCGGCGCGGCGGAGTCAAGCGCATCTCTGGCTTCATCTACGGAGAGACCCGTGGAGTGCTGAAGGTGTTGCTGGAGAACATGATCCGGGACGCCGTCACTTACACTAAGCACGCCAAGCGCAAGACAGTCACGGGTGTGGACGTGGTCTAGGCCCACAAGCGCCAGGGCCGTGCCCTCTACAGCTTCGGGGACTGAGTGGTTTTTGCTTTATCAACAAAAGGTCCTTTTCAGAGCCCCTGACATCTTTCCTGAGGAGCTGTGAGGCTGGTGGGTGGCACCCACACGGCGCGTGGAAATACTGGGGTTCACGGCATGCACCCGTTATTTATCGAGCTACTTAGTGGTCTGCTGAGGGACCGTTTTGTGCTAGCGTCGCCGCGCATGCCTTCCTTACCAGTGTTCGATTAGATTAGCTACTCTGTATTCTTGAGTCAATCTTTTACGTAGTGGGTCAATATGACCCAAGTAGTTTGCTCAAGGAACGTAAGCTGTGGGGGGAAAACTTTCGAAGTTGCACTCTAACTTGGGTATGACCATATCTTATGAACATACTAGTGTCAATACCGTGCCACAGGGAAGATAATTAAATCAGGCATGTCTGGCAATGTTAAATTTACTTTCAGTGTCTTCAGTCCTACATCTTGGGACCTTGTCATTAGGAAGAAATGATCATTTTTTATAAGGCCGGTGATAATATCTCTTACCCTCTACGAGTAATCGCTGTATCTTGTCAAGTCAGAAGGCCACATGCTCTGTAGGTCTAGAAGAGCAGTTAAGCTCTTCATTGTTTTGATCATTTACCACAAAGGGTAGAGAGGACCTTTAAATTGTATTAATAGAATCAAGTGAGTTAAAGGTGTTTTTTACTTTTTAAGGATGAGTCTTAATCTGCACTCAGGTGTTAATTTATGACATTGGTGAAAACATGAACCCATCGTTAGTGATAAAACCTGCGAAGAGAGGTATAGATAGTAATTGATTTCAGATACAGCAAAAGCACAGAATTACTGGTCCATGTATGAAGTGCATGTGTTTTATTTAGAGTGAGTTTGTCACTGATGCAAGCATGTTACATGATAAGTGTACCTATTTTTAACTCATGGATAATTGTCAGATTTTGACACCGGGGTTCTTGTTTACAAAGCCGAAGAATGAGCTTCACAAACACTCAAGGTAGGAGAGCAAGGTACAGGCTTTTGTTTAGAAATAAAGTGAGAGAATGGAGCTCCTGGCTCATGCCAGGAGGGGTCAAGAGAGCCCGTAGTGGTGCGTTGTCTAGGGATTTTATAGGCAGTTGAGGATTTTTTGAGAACATGGAAAAAACTTAGGGGTGTGGACTTGTTAAGTGGTCCCTGAATATTTAGAATTAACTTAACACAAGTAACTTCCTCTGTTGATTTCTCTGAGATACCAGCATCTTGGTCTGGGAGCATATGAAACAAGGCCACGTGCTCAGCCCCCAAGGTGGCCTGACGTATTGTTTGCTAAAGAGTAAGTTAAGAATTTCTAACATCAAATGCAATCTTTTCTTTAAGGTGAAATCCTTTTACTGTGTTGTTTATGCCTGGGCTTACTTCCTAAATTAGTTGGCCAGTTTGCAAAATCACTTCATCAGATCTGAAGGAGGAAAGACAGAACATAGGCCTGGCCCTTTTGGTATGCTAAAGTGAATCTTACACATGATTATAAATGGTTAGCATAATAAAACATTACTACTCTTCTTTATCTGGGGAACATTAACTGATCTATCTCACTGAAGAATGGTCCTAGAGCTTAATGTTTAACATAAGAGTTTTAGTAGGCGGTTTCCTTGCATGTAGTTACATTGCTCCGACTGCAAATATCCCGCCCTGCCCCCTACAGAGGCCCTCACTGACTACATCTACGGTCCCTGTCTCAATTTGGCACCGCTAAGCGGACCCACATATATTTTAGACATAAAAAAGAATTTGTTCAGGATGTGAAGAATAAAAGATACTTTAAAAGTTAAGATGTAAATGTCCTGTTTACAGATTTACTACGAACGTGATGAAATATGGTGAAATGTTTAAGCACAATCATTAGAAGCAGATGGCTTGGGATCGAACCTATAATAATCGTTTCTAGTTGTGAGAACATGTTGAGTGACATTTTGCTTTCTGGGTCTCAATCTCCTCATTTATACAATTGTATGATGATGATAGTAACAGGACCTCATTCAAAGGTTTGTTTCAAGGACTACTGAGCTCATAAATGTAAAGTGTTTAAACACCTGTACCTGGCAGATTGTGATGTGAAGCGCTTACTACTCTATGCCTTGCCCCTAATTGCATCTGATGATGTCACTGCTGTGTGTGAGCAACTTTTAACAACCATATTCCAGTGGAAATAAACATAACCGTTGTGTGATATTAGGAGATAATTCTAGTCTTATGGAGCAATGGGAAATACCTCATCGGTACAGTTTTTCAAAGTTTTTGTAAATTGAAATGTTATCTTGGTTGTTCCTACAATGTCATATACCTATTCCTGTGTACTCACTTTCTGGTTGGTAAATGAAGGGTAAGAGGAGAATTCTTTTGCCTATTAAATATGACTACAGCATAACTGGATAGGGGATATGATTTTTGTTTTTCTCTAACTCCACATTTTCACTAGCTTTCCATTAATCTCATCTCAGTTTTCTGAATAGAATTTAACTGCCAATAAGGAACCTAGACATTATGTAGGCCAGACATCTTTTATGTGGCAGCACGTAAGAATCATGCAGAAGATTTGTTGTTTAAATATGATTAAGTGGTTACCCTGGACCAATTAGATAAAATTCTCTGGGTTTGGGTAATCTCAAATGTGACTCATTAACAATTCTCATTGATACTGATCCTATAGTCCTTTTCAAATTCAGGGGGGAAATCTCAGTGTTTTAATAGCATGTCATCAATTTCAACTTTAAGAGAACACTTATATTATGTAATATATTAATCATATTATATAATATTGATGCCGGGGTTCTTGTTTGCTGAGCCGAAGAATGAGCTTCACAAACAGTCAAGGTAGGAGAGCAAGGTACAGGCTTTTATTTAGAGATAAAGTGAAAGGACAGAGCTCCTGGCTCATGCCAGGAGGGGACAAGAGAGTTCATAGTGGTGCATTGTCTAGGGGGTTTTATAGGCAGTTGAGGATTTTTCGAGAACATGAAAAAACTTAGGGGTGGGGACTTGTTAAGTGGTCCCTGAATATTAAAAATTAACTGTAAGGAATTTCCTGCCTTGATTTCTCTCTGGGACACCGGTGCCTTGGTCTGGGAGCATATCAAAAGGCTGCCTGCCCAGCCCCCAAGGTGGGCTGAGGTATTGGTCTACTTGCTAAAGAATCTTGCCTCTTGAACTTCCTGAGTGTTAAAATGCAATCTTATGTTTAAGATGGAATTCTTCCTGCCTTTTACCATGTCGTCTACAGCTGGGTCTGCATGCTGTTAGTTGCTCAGTTTGCAGAATCACCTTGTCAGATCTGAAGGAGGAAAGACAGCACATAGGCCTGGGCCTTTTACTGTGCTAAAGTGAATCTTACACATGGTTACAAATGATTAACATAATAAAATATGTGCTACTCTTTATCTGGGGAACATTAACTGATGTCACTGAAGAATGATTCTAGAGCTTAATATTTAACATAGAATTTTAGTAGGGGGGGTTTCCTTGTATGTAGTTACATTGTTCTGACTGCAAATATCCCAGCATGACCCCTCCGGAGGCCCTCACCCTACACTCTGACTACATCTATGGTCCCTGTCTCAATATCATGTTATAAATATGTATCATTAAGATAACTTCAGCCCCAAAGCTCTGACCAACATTAGAGGATAAAGAATCATTCTTCGTTGTGATGAGAGGCTACTTAGTACAGTCCACGAATTCAAGTTTTTACATTTCTCCCAAGATTTAGGTCAAAGCCCATTCATGTGTGAGAAACACTCACTGGTCCAAATTCAATAAGTGGGCACGGAGACAGAACAGTGGAGCGAGACTTTAATGACGGTCTTGCAAGATCGGGTGTCTGGTGGACAGGCACACCTGGGGAGTTAGGCGCCAATAATTTATCTCCTAGTATGGGAGTCCCTCCCCTGGTCTCTCATTGGCTGAGTACTACAGGGTTCACATTCTTTCCCGGACATTGCATAAGCCAGTTATATCTTTCCTTTACATGTCTTAATTTTATTGGTAGGCTTAAGAAACTCAAACAGGTATTGCCAGGCCCTTATCAATTCCCCCACCCCCACTCTCAGCCCGAGCAGCTTCCACCACGTGGCCCTTTGTTCACACCTTACTGTTAAAATGTATAAACATCCTAGTGGGAATAAATCACATTTAGGTTTTATACTCTTTCCTAACACATGGGTTTATTTTATCTATGGCTTCTGGATTAAAGTTTGCTGCATATAAACATCTACGTTTGGTAAATTTGAGTTAAGACTTCACAAACCTAGAACAACTGCTTGTCTTTCCTTTCAACTATACTGGGAAAACTACCTCTAAAAAAAAACCCCATAATCTTTTAATTTTTAACATATAGGAAAATGTATCATGACTAAATGCCCTGAGATTTAGAATGCTTACTTCACACAGATTTGGCAGTTTCATCACTTGTTTAGGACTATACCCTACTGAATATACCCTGGTATAGTCAGTCAGAAGAGGTTTCAATAGCATCAGGAACATTAATTAATTTATTCACTAAATACTACTGAATGATTGACTATTATGCTTCAGGCACATTTTTTTGGCGCTGGTGAAGTAGTAAAGAAAACATTCCTGCCTTTCTGTATTACTTTTGCTAGGGAAAGAGAGAAAATATAAACTAACAGAAAAATCACTTTGCTACACCTAGTGGCAAATTATTAGTATTCATTTTATTTGACCTATTGGAAACATTGACATAGTTGACACTACAATTTCTCTTTGATATATTTTCTTCACTTGGTTCTATCTTACCAGAGGCTCTGTATCTATTGCTAGTTCATCCCTTATTCCCAAACCCTTTATGTTAGGGAAGACAGGACTAAGTATTTACTACTTCTGTCTCTACCTACATTCACACCCTTGGAGTTCTCACCAGGCTCAGGATTTAAATACCAACGGTACATCAATGACTTCCAATTTATATCTCCAACCCAGGCATCTTTGTCAAAGTCCAGATAGACATACACCCAACTGTAAGATAAATTCTAGCCGAAATAAGCAGGCGAAGAGAGGCAACAAAGGGCCAGGTAGTTTATTTGAACACAATTCCCAGGCAAGGTTTCCCAGTCTACAGAAATGGAGGCTGGGGAAGTCGCGCCCAGCAGGGGAGGCAGCAAGTTTTTAAAGAAGGCAAGGGGAGGGAGAGCAAAGGTATACACTGGCACGGAGGATTGGCTCACGTAGGGTACGTGGGGGTCTCTCATTGGCCTTTAGCCAGGTACAGGAAAGTCACCACTAATCTTCCAGCTTGGGGGAAGGGCTCTAGTTAGGAATGTTATCTGATCAGTCTCTGGAATGTTGTCAGACCTGAACCTGTTAGTCTCTTTACCTTGTTTGGTGAGGCCTGAGCTTGTCCAGCAGGCTCATCCCTTCCCCTGGAGACTCCAACCTTACACCAACTCCCTATTTTCTTTCTTCATATGGATATTTAATGACTTCTTAAGGTTAATATGTTCAAAATAGGACATTGGTTATCCCCCTTCTCCCCAAAAATCTTTTATTAAGGACTCCCCCATTAGTTAAAAATAACTTCATAATTGTCCTTTTCTTATACTTATATTCAATTCTTCCAGAAATTCTCTTGGTTTTGCCTTCAAATATAAATTGACACTGACCAGTTCTCAATACCACTATGCTACGACCCTGGTGTGAGGACTATTATCTCTCCCCTGGGTTATTGGCTTCAGTCTCTGTGGGTAAAATTGTAACATTTCCAGAATATCTCACCTGGCCTTGGTATATCTGTGTATCAATAGGAATTCAGAGGTGGAAAGAAGTATGGCTTTAGTGTATTTGCATCAATCCTGAGGGGTGGAGAGAAGTTCAACTCCATATCAATGGGTAATTACCTGGGAAACCAAGGGCATGTCTGAACCTGAGAGGTTAAGGGGAGGGGGCTGGCTTGCTTTCTTGCTGGCTTCTTCCAGGTGCAATGGAGAGTTTATCTGTACCTGAGAGGTGAGGGGGAGGGTGGGTTTTGCTGCTGTTGGAG